GTTGGGTGGATCCCTGAGTCGAGGCTAGCTAGGGGGTCAGTGAGGGACTTTGTCTCAAAAACAAACGAAATGAGTTCGAGGCCAGCCTGTTCTATACAGTGAGTTCCAGGACAGTTAGGGCTACACAGAGAAACCCTGTTTCGAAAAACCAAAACAAACAAACAAACAAACAAAACAAAGCAAAACAAAACTGACAGGAAACAATTGAGGAAAACATGCAGTGTCAATCTCCAGGTTTTACACACGCATGTATGCACACGTGCGCGCACGTGCACGCACACACACCACACACACCAGAAAATAAAAACAAAACACGACTAGATGACAGAGTGAACTATTTCCTAGTTCCACAGAGCAAAGTTCACCCCAGTGAGACCCTTCCTGACGCTCTCTGACATTCGTTGTATTTTACATACTATGCTCTGGGCTGTAAAGCACTTCTGCTTGGAAGTAACTTGGGTTAAATATCCCTGTTTCTTCCGTAGTCAGACTTTCAAGCATGATTTCCAAAAGTGTTTTACCCCAGTTCCTGTGGTCGGTATGTTCGAGTCCCTGTCAAGTCCCTTTGTTGAAACTCTCATTCCCTAAGTGATGGCATTAGGAAGTGGGTGTCCTTAGGTGGTCCCAACTGGTGAGATTGTGGGTGTGTATGGTGTGTACCCCCTCTATGCCTCACGAAGAAACAGAGAGATCGCCCTCTACAGCTAAGGGGTGAGACTCTGAGGCCATTGAGTTTCCTGTGCCACCCATCCCCCTGCCAGCGGCAATAAGGCTGTAACTTAGGCCATCCAGCCTAAAGGTCTCCCTACAGCAGCCCCAGCTGGCTGGGGCTACGATTACAGCTCATCAGCTGCTGTAGCTCTCCAGTCCTCCCTGGAATGAAATCTTTCACTTTCATTGTCTCTAAGCCTCCAGGGAATTGAGGGTATCAGACTGGCCTGAATGAAATCTATAGCCTGGAGGGAGCAGGATGGGGCCACAGGCCTTAACCCTCCCGCGGCACTTAGACTAGGTGGACCTTTCCCCTCCCCTCTCCACTGCAAGGCATTTTGATTCTGCCCTTGCCTGTGGCACAGAACTGGAGAGAACTGCACTGGAGACAAGGGGGTGGGGGGGCTGGCTCCCCCTCTACTAATAAATGTTTGATTGATTCTAAATGAGCTGTCACTATGCCTTGGAGTGAGAATCACAAGCAGTGCCATAAGCGGACTGTAAAGTGACAGTCATGTGACCCGGCTGCCGCTCTGACAACAGCAGGGAGGAAGATGATTTAATTATGGGGAGGGGGGAGAGGAGGGAGGGGATGGCTTCTGGGAGGGGGATGGGTTTCTCATCGCTCATCGGCTCTCTCAGAGACCAGCTTTGTTCTGCTTTTTGACAGCCTTTCAGTTGTTTTTTTTTTTTAAAAAAAATAAAATCTTATTATTATGCTTAAACTGCACTGGTTTTGTGTCTCTAGTTCCCTTGGGAAAGAGTGACAAGGTGTGACCATCTGTCATCTATAGAAACCTGACTCTCGAGGAGCTTGGGCCAACTCTCCAAGCAGAGAGTATTTCCGTGGATTTTTTAGTTTTAGTGTGTGTGTGCGTGCACATTCACAAGGAGGCTGGAGGTTAACCTCTGCTCGTGAAGAACCACCCACCCACCCTGTTTTATGAAACAGGTCTCTCACTGGGACCAGGGGCTCATTCCGGCTGGGTGGCTACCTAGCTCCAGGGGTTTACCTGTCCCTGACTCCCCAGTACTGAGATGATAGTGACATGTCACCATGCCCAGCTTTTTAAGTGCTGGGGACCAAGCTTAGTCTTCATGGTATTGTAAAGGAGCTTTACCAGCGGAGCTAGGCCTCCAGTCCTGTTTTCTTTTTGCTTCTGATGGTTATCTTGGGGTTGTCTTACTAAGTTAAGTTTCTGAGATGCATTAACAGTTGCACTTTGCCTAACGCATCATTGCAAATGAGAGATGCATTCCCACAGGTAGCCTTTTGAAGGCAGCATCAGAGTCGAGTTACCTTCCTGGGATTCTGTGTAGGGGGCTTTTCATTCTCCATTCCTTAGGCCTTGGAGCGATTAGCTGCTTAAATTCTGCTAGCCTCATCTGAGAAGTGATGACACAGCTATGGCACAGTTTTTGGTACATGCACTTCCAGCTGCTGCTGTATGCACACCACCTCTGACAGGTGCTAGCTTTTATGAGCACGGACAGATGGGTGGAAAATGCCTCTGGAGACTGGAGAGATGGCTCAGTGGTTAAGAGCATTTGCTGCTCTTCTAGAGGACCCTAGGAGTATTCCCAGTACCCACATGGAAACTCACAACCATTGTAACTTCATTTCCAGAGAATCTGATGTCCTAGTAGGACCAACATGAGCACTAGGTAAGCATATGGTACACATATGTACACGTAGGTAAAACACCCATGCTCATAAAGAAATCTAAACACACACACAGACACACATGCACATGAACACACACACACACACATATTTAAAGACGTGTCAGCTTCCCCAATCCCTGGGCAAAGGGTCCCTAACTTAGAAGCCATAGAGCAATAGCCATCTTGCCTATGTTGATGATTCTAACAGCATTTGTAACACTAAATGTTACATATGATCTACCATATGTCCATCACTGCCTGAAGAAACAGAGGAGATAAAAAGGATTAAGGTTTCATATTATCACCAAAAAAAGGAGGGGGGGAGGGAGAGGGTTGCTACTTCAGCTGTATTTGGCTTCTGGGGAGAAAGGAATGGCGGCATGCTTTTGTTCCTGAAGGCTGGTTTGGGAATGAGACCGGCAGGAGGAGGTCTCATTAATACAAGCAGCTGGGGGCTAGGAAACACCATCCTAAGGCAACACAGCGGAATGTTCCAGATGTACTCTGGGAAGCACTTACGGGTAGAAGTTTCAGATCTGGGGTTAGGAAAAAAAAAATGGTCCTGGTTCAAATCCCTCAGCATATTTGCCCTGGGGTCATAGTCTGGGTGCATCATTAACTTCCTTAGTTTCTTCAGTGAAAATCTTCAAATTTTGACTTTGCCCCTCCTCACACCCCAGCCTCCCTCCTTTGTGATACAGAATCCAGGTTACAGTTCAAGCTGGCTTCCAGTCGCATAGGATCCTCTGTCTCCTGGTGCTGGGATGACAAGCACACACTAACTACCATGTTTAGTGATCACTTATTAATAAGACCCCGTGAGTTTTATAAGTCATGATATATGCAGAAATTGCTGTTTGCTTTTACTCCTGATGTACCTTCTAGAGGCAAGTAGGTACGTTTTTGAGTGTGAGCACCCTGGGAACAAGGACTTCGTCTTTGTCTTCTGCAATGTTCATCTCCCATAGCCTGTAGAATGGACCCAGCAGGGTGCCAAGCGATTTTTGACACCACCTGGTGGACATTCATGGAACTTCAGAGTCACAGCTCCAATAGTGCATTCTGGAACAGTGTTTGCCTTCCGCTGGTGAAAAATATCTTTCCATTTCTTGTTCTGACAAAAGACTTATATTTATCGAAACTCATAAAGGATTTGTCAGTCATATCCAACATCTATGATGTGAATGACCAAAGCCAAGCAAATTGAAATGCTCACCTTGACTCTTTTTTTTTTTTTTTTTTTTTTGATTTTTTGAGACAAAGTTTCTCTGTGTAGCCCGCTGTCCTGGAACTCACTCTGTAGACCAGGCTGGCTTCGAACTCAGAAATCCACCTGCCTCTACCTCCCAAGTGCTGGGATTAAAGGTGTGCGCCACCATTGCCCGGTTTCACCTTGACTCTTAAGAAGGGCTCTGTTTCCCATGTCAGCACACTCGAGTGCTCACAACTCCCGTGCAGGAAATATAACACCTGAGTCTCACTGACTAGGAGTTAATTGTGGTAAAGTCATTGAGATTCTATGACTTCACCTTGTGCTCTCTGAAGCACTCCTTAGCTGCAAGGCCAGACTCCAGGATTCCCAGGGTTCCCCATGGAAACCAGACGAATCCAGAGAACAGAGCTCAAATTTACAACTCAACATAACTTCAGCCTTGATTTGTCCTTCCGCTTTTCCCACCCCCCCTTAGGGCATGTTTACCTTATTTTTCATAGATCTGTGGACTTCGTCTCGCTTTTAGTTGAGCCTACTGTTTTCCTGTAGAGCAGGAAAAGAACAAAGGTCTTTCTTTCTGAACCCTAAGGCCAAGTATGGCAGCTCTGGCCTTTAATTCTATAGCACCAGAGACAGATCTCTGAGTTCAGGGCCAGCTTGGTCTACATACTGAGTTCCAGAAGAGCAAGGGCTATATATATATAGAGAGACTGTCTCAAATAACAAAACAAAAAAGAAAACAAACAAATAATTTTCTTAAGATGCCAAAGGATACATGTTCCAAATATGTGTGCCCATGTAAGCGGGTCTTCAGCTCCACCACCTGGAATTCGCCAATCTCAGAAGCTAAGTGTGTTCTGGCCTGGGTAGCACTTGGATGGTGAGAGTCACAGACTACTGAGCTTTCCTTCACTGCCTTGTGACTTCTGGAACCATTGAATGCATCAGGCTTGGGCCTGATGAAACGGGAGAGGCTGAGATGTGGAACTGGCCAGTAGCCGTAAGAGCTGGATTTGGCTCTCCGTGAAGTGAAGTGATGCCTTGTGGTTCCTCTTGCTCCCTGAACAGAAAGCCCCCATACAGCCCTGACCTCATTTAGGAGACATGGCTGAGTTGTCAAATTCCTGTGCATCAGAGAAATTGAAGAGGGCTTTGTGGGAGGGAGTCCTTAGTGAAAAATTTAGTGTTGCTGTAACATTTTTTGGAACTGTTAAAAAAGATGTTTGTATGACTTAAGACAGACTTTTAAATGGCAGCATGAAACATCTGCTTCTGAGGCAGACCGGTTCTTGTGGGTTTTCTAATCAGGAAAAAATTAGAAGCCGCCTCATGAACGCCCTGACTCAGCTCTGTGAGTCTCAACTGCCTTCACAGTGTGACTGTGTCTATTGCTTTTAACATCCGCAAAAGTCGACAGGACGTCTTTCACGTCGTGGGTCTCAGCACGAATGGGATCTGGTAAGAGTGTGGTATCAGCAGTTCCTCCTGCAACCCAGCTGCCAGGTCAGAGTCTGTCTTACTTATCTATTGCTGTGATACGCACCATGACCAAAAGCAATCTGAAGAAGAAAGTCAGTCTCTCTCTCTCTCTCTCTCTCTCTCTCTCTCTCTCTCTCTCTCTCTCTCTCTCTCTCTCTGTGTGTGTGTATGTGTATGTGTGTGTGTGTGTGTGTGTGTGTGTGTGTGTGTGTGTGTATGTGTATGTGTATGTGTATGTGTATGTGTATGTGTATGTGTATGTGTGGGTAGGCAGGGGTTATATGCTAGATGTCCTGGAACTCTGTAGACCAGGCTAGCCTCAAACTTGCCTGCTTCTCCTCTCGAGTCCTAGAATTAAAGATGTGTGCACTCTTTCTGTCTCATGCTATGTCTTGTAATCCATCATCCAAGAAAGCCAGGACAGGAACTCAAGGCAGAGACCTGGAGGCAGGAATTGATGCAGAGGCCACAGAGGAATGTTGCTTACTGGCTTTCTCCTTGTGGCTTGCTCAGTCTGCTTTCTTATAGAACCCAGGACCTAGGGGTGACATTCCCCACAGTAAGTAAAGCCCTGCCACAGCAATCATCAATCAATCAATAAAAAACAAAACCAAACACAAACCACACCCACAGGCTTCCCACAGGTAAGCTAGCGGAAGCATTTTATCAGCTGAGGTTCTATCCTCTCAAGTGACTATACCTTGTGTGAAATTGACATAAAACTGTCCAGCATAGAGGCCTCCTGGGTGGCCTAGAAATTTGTCTCCTTCTTAGAGGTTTCAAGCTAGAACCCTGAGTGTCTTGAACACCAGAGATTTTCCATGTGTGGTAGAAGCTGTGTCATGAGAGGAAAAACATGGACAAAAATCAGCCCAAGTTGAAGGTCGATTTTCACTTACTCATCAGCATAGTAATGCTTTTTTTTGTTTTTGTTTTTGTTTTTTCGAGACAGGGTTTCTCTGTATAGCCCTGGCTGTCCTGGAACTCACTCTGTAGACCAGGCTGGCCTCGAACTTAGAAATCCGCTTGCCTCTGCCTACCAAGTGCTGGGATTAAAGGCATACACCACCACTGCCCGGCCAGTAATGGGTTTTATTCCAACATTTTCATCTGTGTGTATAGTATGTTTTGGTCATTTTCACCTGTATTAGGTACTTTTTTCCTGTTGCTATGGTAAAAGTCTACCGTCAAGGAAACTTATAGAGGGTTTTTTTTTGGCTTATAGTTCCAGAGAGAGACGGGGGAGAGAGCAGAGAAGAGTCTATCATGATGGAGCGACAAGCAGCAGGCATAGTGGCCAGAAAACAGAGCTGAGGGCTCACACCTGTTTGTTGTTTGTTTGAAAAAAGATTTGTTTATTTCATTTATATGAGTACACCGTCTCTGTCTTCAGACACACCAGAAGAGGGCATTGGATTCCATTACAGATGGTTGTGAGCTACCATGTGGTTGCTGGGAATTGAACTCAGGTTAAGAGCCGTCAGTGCTCTTAACCACTGAGCCATCCCTCCAGCTCTCAAGGGCTCACACCTTTAATAGCAAGTGCAGAGTCGAGAGGGAACCGGAAATGAGGTGCAGCTTTTAACCTCTTAAAGCTCACCCTCAGTGATGTACTTCCTCCACCAAGGCCACCCCTTCTACATTTCCACAAACAGTACACAAACTGGGAATAAATGGTCAACTGTCTGAGCCTATGGGGGCCCGGAGGGGACATTTCTCATTCAAGTCACCACACATCTCAGTTAACCATCCTTGTCTCCCTCCTGGAGCTGAACCTTTTCTTCTTAACTCGTTTTCTTTTCTACTTTAATGTCCTTGCCCCCTTTCTCTCTCTTCCCTTTGTGGTACCTCAGTGAGTTTGATCCAGGGTGCTTATCGGAGTGGATTGGTGTTTCCTGTACAACCTGTGGCATTTTCTGTGATGGCACCACGACCAAACACACTAATTCTTAACGCTCTTAAACCCTTTCGTGTCACACAGTCAGAAGAATGTAACTCAGCACTGACTATACTGCTAACTGCAATTATATTCAAATTCTTATATGCCTTAGTCATTTAGCAGAATAGACGGTGAGCATTTTGAGTGCAAAGATCCAATCTTAAATTTATCTTGTCTCCTCCAAAGTCCGAGCACGCAGCTCGCTACATCCGACTCAGTCCCTACCTATCAGACACTCGTAACCCCAGACTTACTTGGTTTGGCTGACTTAGTGTTTAGTACTGTCTTGCCTCAGAACAGTGGTGTGCGAGGCTAATGTAAGGAGGGTTTTGACGTAAGCACCTGAGCCTGGAGTGATGTCATATCCCTGCTTACCGCACATGCTTGAGTGTCTTTCCTGGAGATGTGAATGTCCACCCCTGATTGAAACCTGTTTGCTTGGGGGTTTCTTCCTGTTAACTGTTCTCTACTCACGCTCTGTTATTATTTGAAAGTACCGCTCTGATGCTACCTAACATCTCTGTGGAAACTTCCTCACATACCACAATTCCCCTTCCTCTGTGTGCCAGCACCTGCCCTCACCGTGCATCCCCAGGTAGCAGATTCACCGCTCTTTTCTCATTTCTGCAGCTACTTCTCCTCTCTAACCAAGTGGTCTTAGTCATGTTATATAACGGAGACAAAATAGCTCACAAAAGCAACTTCCAGGTTTGTTTTGGCTCTCAGTTCATGGATACCATCCTTCAAGGCAGCAGGGGTTTGAGGCGGCACCTGGTCAGGTTGCCTCTGCAGCTGTCAAGCAGAGAGCAAAAACAAAACAAAACAAAACAAAAAACAACAAAAAAACCCCTGCTGTTTATTGTTTCTTCTTAGTATGCACTATAGAAACTCAGGCCAGGCCGGGTACTCCTATCTCAGTGAACCTGCTCAAGGCTATATTCCTAGGCATGTCCAGAAGATGATCTATCTAAATAATCCTTTACAGGCATACCTGGAGGCTTGTCTCTGAGATGGTTTCAGGTCTTGTCAAGTTGACAATATTAACCATTACATAAGTTATTCACCCATTTTTTTTTTGACAGGTGCTTGCAAAAGTACTTTGTAGCCTCACTGCTTGTATACAGAGTAGACGATACATATGTATTACAATGTATAAGAAAATAAGTATTTGTAGATCAGTAAGCTTGATACTCATTGATCCGGGACACATTCCTCAGAGAAAGCAGCAGGTTGTCAGGGCCATCTTGCCTTTTCTCAAATCCGCATTTGTCTTTTAACTATAATAGGATCTCTTAAAAATAAATGAAGGAAGGAAGGAAGGAAGGAAGGAAGGAAGGAAGGAAGGAAGTGTATGGGTGTTTTGCAGTAGTACCTGCAGATGTCAGAAGAGGGTCCAGAGACCCTTGGACTGGAGTTATAGATGGTTATGAGCCACCATGTAGTTGCTGGGAACTGAGCCTTAGCCACTGAGCCGTCATCCCTGCCTTCATGGACCTCTTTTTATTCTTCATCTTTTATAATCCCAGTGTAACCCCCAAGAGACCTCCAAACCTTGACTATATATAGCCCTTTATCCCCTGCAAAAGACACCATTTACTGCTAAGCATCTGTCTGTAGTCTTTTGAGCGAGTGAGCTGTTTATCTGCGTTTAGTTCAGTTGCAGGAGACAGACTGCAGCGAAGATGGCATTCGACATGCCTGGGAGAACTGTATTCTTTACCAGATGATCATTAGCGTCTGCTCTGCACGGTGAACTGAGTCACGGCAGCTACGGTAGCTCGTGACTCTGCCTCTCAGGAATTTTCATCTGTTGAAGAACTGCACACATAGGAATGTTTAAATAATTCAAGGCATGGTCTATAGTGCACAAATGTCACTTAAGCGCTACAAATTCTAAGCAAGGAGTTGTCTCTAATGAGCGAGAGTAGGGGGTGGGGAAGGCTTTTTAGCAGAATAAGGGCTGTTCTGGGTTTTTAGCTGATGGTGAGATGAAGCAGAGAAGATACATTGTGAGCAGCGGGACGAGGAAGACTAAAAAGCTTTAGAGTCCTTAGAGTCTCACGCCATTATTTCGCCGGTTTCTGAATCTCCTGGAGATGTACCTGTGGCATTGCCCTGAAGATTGGATCAACAGGATATGCCTGACGTTGAACCTGGCGTATGCTAGATGATCAGATGATCACTGGTTGTTCGCTTGCTTTAGAGGAACTGTCAAAATAACGTAAACGAAGATGCCAGTAGGAATGGCTGGCTGGTAAAAGGGGCATTCCTGTGCTTCGCCTGGTGGAAGGCTCACCGCCCGAGTGGTTGGGCTGCACGCACTCAGCTTCAACATAGGGGGCAGCACTAAGCGCGTTAATGAGGCTTCCGCTTTTTCCAGTTTCTCAGTTGAAGAATACACAGGCTGAGGCGCTGGAAGGAGTGAGTGGCAGGAGAGGGGCGTGGGATGGGGGATGGGGTGGGGAGTAGGGTTGGAGGGGGCGCCCAGTCTCAGCTCCGCTAATTATGCCCGCTGAGATTTTGCCGTCAACTATTTGAGAAGTACTTAACATTTTTTTTTTTTTAAAGTAGACTTCCTTTCCTGATTCCAAAATCAGGAAACCCTGAAATACTAAAATACTGAAGTGACTCTAAAATCTAAAATTGACAGTATTGAAGATCCACGTGGACTTAGCTCCGCCATGCTGTCCAAGGCCGGCAGTTCTGCTGCCCTGAGCCCAGAATCCCAGCATGCCACAGTTAGAAACCACTCACAGGAGGATAGACTGACTGACAGGTTGTGTGTGGCGGATGAGCTCCTACTAAATACTAGGAAGATGCTAATTTTCATTGTCTTAGCAAGAGATCAAAAAATATAATAAAACCTTTTCTCTGCACAGCTGTTACAGGGTGGTTGGTGAGCGAGCCAATGGTGTTCTTAATTAAAAATTTCATTTTCCTGAACATATTGGGATGGTTAATAAGCCGCTTTGGCAAGAGGAAGGAGTGAGAGACATATCTTACAAATTACATATATTCTGCTATTTTAATCTATAAGCAACCCCAAACCATATTTAAAAACATGTTTGTGTATCAGAGGAGAGTGTCTGTGTGACTTTACCTTTCAACTTATAGGCATACACAAATAAAAATCACACACACACAGAGGAAAACATACACACCTATGCATACATTCAAGTAGCATGACAGATCAAAAGGCAAAAGAAGAATAAGCTTCACGTTAGAAAGATACCTCGTGAAGTCTGTTTAGAGCTGTTAATTAGGCAGGGGAGTCTAGCAGGGCTGTCGGAAGACTGCACACCAGTTGGTTAAAGCTGTTTTAAATAATCCTCCTGCCAAGCAGCCACCGCTACTCCCAGCACGGTCCCCTTCGCAGAAGGCAAGGAAGTCTTTTGTATCCCAGGAATCATTAGAAAGAAGGTCTTTCGAAATGGATGTGTCACTGAATTCTATCAGGGAACAAATCAATCCACTGAGCTCTTAAATCTACTTCCAGTCACTCGTAAAGGTTCCAATACACTTCTGAACACCCAAGTCTGCGTGGATGGATATATTTAACAATAACTCAGTCAGAGTGAACTGGATTTATTGAGGGTCTAGGATGTACCCAGCTGCTTTTGCCCGCTGAACCACATGAAGACAACTAGCACACAGTCTCTAGTCTTAAGGAAGCACAATGATGGAGACAAAATAAGGTCTATACTCTCTCAGGGTATCACAGCCCAGACCCTGCTGGAGGAGCAGGTAACTGTGGGGCGGAACCTAGACAAAATGCTAACAAACAGACTAGCAGTTATAGCAGTCATAATCCAGCTAGGAGGTTGAAGAGCTGCTCCCTGCTTCCTAGGCCCTCTCACAGATCTCTTCCAACCTCTTCTGCATCCCCAAATCTGTCACTTAACTCCAACTCTCCCAATGAATGTACCCCCAACTCCAACTTGTCCAACACACTGCTACTGGGCTCATCTTCCTAGCTCAAAGGCAGGCACACCGGATGCTCAGGCTCCGAGCCTTTGTGTGGATTTCGGTTACCCACAAACCTGGTCCTGTGTCCTCCACAGCTCCGCTGTGAATGACTGCGTCAACATCACTAACACAGCTCCTGGATCCAGCATCCATCCCTCTGACATAAGGTTACCTCAGTCATACTGCGCTCCGACCCACCCACACACATACCAACCACAAACCTCAGAACCCAAATGTCCACTGTCTGACTAATAAAAAGGTAACACTTTCATTTGGAGACAGAAACCTAAATGCCGCGAAATGCTTTAAGCATTTTCTCAGGCCCTTAAACATCTGTTTTTCTGCTTTTTTAGATTTATAATTTAAGGGAGATAGAGCTCGGGGAATTCTGAGCCGTTGAAAGCTTAAAAACCAAACAAAAATTAAAAAAAAAAATAAAAATAACCTCCAAACCACCAGCCTTTGCCATGAATATTCCTCTTTTTCAAATACAAAAATAGTAAGGGCGTTCTGGTCTAAATAATGCATGGTGTTCTATTCTGTAAAGGCAAGTCAAAACTCTGGCGGCTACCTCATCTCAAATGCCTGCTGGGCTCTGCTTGGTGCAGAGGTCTCTTCAGGAGTTGCACGTTTCCCCATTCCACCAGGGCAGCCTCCGTGAGCCTCAGATCCTGACAGTGATTAGCAAGCTTTCCAGCGTGCTTGCCCTTTTGCTTTCTGTTTGAAAAAAAAAAAAAATGCTTATGTTTGCACTTTTTCCCTCCTTATTTCAGTTGACCAGCGCTTCTTCACCCTGGCGCTAGAATGTCCAGCAGGAACTTTGCAACCAAAATCAAATCCAGGAGCCAAGATTCACCAGCTCAGATGGCCTCTGGGAGTCCTCGGTTTCCTATTGAAAAATGGAAGTAAGGATATTTACTTTTTAGGAGTTATAAAGATTAAGTACTGATATTAGAAATTATCTCTAGTTTGAGCTCTTATTTGCCGATGCAGGGCAGGTTTATTTCTGAATATGCCAGAGGAAATAGGGAATAGACACACAAGTCCTATACTGTTGTCAACATAGCCCTACTGTCCAACAGACAGCATCAGCACTTCCCAGAGCAAGTTAGAAGAGCCAAATCTCAGGCTGGGTCCTAACCCTACTACTGCAGACACTGTGGACAGGACACAAGCCCCGTCCCCTGTTGGTACGTTTCTTTACCTAGTTCTCTTTGGGGTCACAGCTTCCCAATTCTACTCATATGAAAACACACTGTGGATCTCCGTGCAGGTGCCAGTTATAACCAGGAAAAAAAAGGTGTGCATGCCTGCGCATGTTTTACTGTTATTGCAGTGATAATCTTTATTTCAGAAGCCTCTAGGTCTGGTCCTGTCATTTATTATCTTTCCTGGTAAAGCTGATGGTTTGGGAGCTGGGCTTTAGGAGTAGGTAGGGACCCCTTCCTATGATTTGCTCACACCTGAGCACTGAAGATGTCCTGAATCTCAGACTTATAAATAACAACCCTAATGTCCTTCCCTGGAGGGACCTTTATCTGGGGGTAGGGCTTTTCTGTCTTTAGGGGTGACCTGGAAAGGCTGAGCTGGTGGTAGGACCTCAGGCTTATGAGTCAGGATTTTCTTGCTCAGAGAAATCTTACCACCCTCTTTATTTTTGATTGGTTATTTGCTAAGGGGCAGGACCTCCCGTAGTCCAGGCTGACCTTGGATACTGACCTCTGCCAAGCAACTTCCTTCTGCTACCAGGGCTGGGGATTGGTTAGATACTGCCCTCTTGTGGAAAGTTGGTTTCACTGGCTTCAGATGGAAACAGAGAGGCCTGCCACTGGCTTAGCGCAGAAGTCCTTGGGTTGCTGACAAAATGGCTACAGGATGCTTCTCTGTTTTTCTCCTTTCCTTGGACCTCTCTTGCCAAGTGATTCTTCATGAACTCCATGCTAATTTGGGGTGACACAAGCATTTTACAAACATTACTTACTCACCTGTAGCTGAGTGAACCAGAAGTGTATAGCATTTGACACAACAGTCATAGTCTGCTAATACACAAGGTAAGTCTCGCCATTACGTTCTGTTTTTAACTGTTCAGGATTAGTCAGGTAGCCAGGCAGTGGTGGCACATGCCTTTAATCCTAGCACTTGGGAGGCAGAGGCAGGCGGATTTCTGAGTTCGAGGCCAGCCTGGTCTACAGAGTGAGTTCCAGGACAGCCAGGACTACACAGAGAAACCCTGTCTCAACAAACAAAACAAAACAAAATGAAACAAAACAAAAAAAGATTATTCAGGTAATATGCTAATTTTAGAAAAACATACAAATGACACCTGCAACCCTGTCATTCACCAAATAAATAATTTGCTATTTATGTGTCAATTTGTGGACCATTTCTCTCAGTATTTCTATTTTGGTACTTTTCCCTATTTTTGCTTAAATTCTGCTCACATATCTTTTTTTTAATAGAGAATCTTTTTTAAATTTATTTATTGTATGTAAATACACTGTAGCTGTCTTCAGACACCCCGTAAGAGGGCATCAGATCTCATTACAAATGGTTGTGAGCCACCATGTGGTTGCTGGGATTTGAACTCATGACCTCCAGAAGACCAGTCAGTGCACTTAACCACTGAGCCATCTCACCAGCCCCCTGCTCACATATCTTAAGATCGAGGATGCAAACAGAGCTAAGACACATCTTGAATTCTGGCATCTGAGAGTAAGAGGCAAAGGCAGGTGGATCTCTGTGAGTTCAATGCCAGCCTGGTCTACAGAGTGAGTTCCAGTCCAGCCATGGCTACATCGTGAGACCCTGTTTCAAAGAATAAGGAGAAGGAGGACAGTAAGAAGAGGAAAGCAGGGCTGGAGAGATGGCTCAGCAGTTAAGAGCACCAACTGCTCTTCCAGAGGTCCTGAGTTCAATTCCTAGCAACCACGTCGTGGCTCACAACCATCTACAATGGGATCTGATGTGCCTGAAGACAGCTGCAGTGTACTCATATACATAAAATAAATAATAATTTTTTTAAAAAAGAAGAGGAAAGTGAGGGATGGGGCTTGAGGGAGGGAAACAGTGTCAGACCCTCAACCTTGCTGACTTAGTCGTTGGACTTGGTGCCTCGAGGAGTGTTGCAGTTGTCCTTGGCAACATGAGCCATCCCCTTCATAGCTCGGCTAGGTCATTTACTCACCCCTCCCTCCACACTTCTTTTTGCTTCTCTACCTTTCAGCGGCTCTGATGCCCTTCCCTTTTGCCTTTAACCTCCTTCTTCATTTTCCGTGGAGGAAAAAGAAAGGGAAGAAAAAGAAACCCCAGTACCTATTATTGTCTGGGATAAGAATCTGTTTCCTTGATTCTCGGCTAGGAGTCTACAGCTCAGCGCTTTAGGGTGATATTTTACTTGACGATCAATAAAGCTCGTCCATTTCAGAATTATTAACCCTGGGTCTGCCATTGAAGTTAAAATATTTTTTTTTTCTATTCATTCAACATCTGAGTCACACCTTTTGTTCATCCGTTCAGCTCCTATTCATCACTTAAACCATATCCACAAAGGCTCTGTTCTTGGCTCTGGGTTGGGTGTGGGTGTGGGGTCGAGCCTTATATGTAGATGGAAGGGGTTTAAGTGAGGAGGGAAGGGAAAGGCGAACATGATTAGCTTTAGACTTTCTGGTGAGCTTTGAGACAGGGCAGTAAGGCGATAGGGAGGTTGATAGCTCCATTGACTCTGTAGGGGAAGGCTGTTGGGAGCCGACTCCTAGCAGAAAGCTATCTTTACAGCCACCTCGAGCCATATACCCTGACAAGAGACTTGTTTTCAACAGCCCACAACAGCTGAGCACACTCTGATAAACATTTTGTTTTTCTCACATATCTTGTTTTGCTGTTTAGTGTCCCCAGCTGGAAGGCGCACGTGGCATAGTGCCTTCAGCTGTGCTCCCCTGCTTTTCCACGAGGGCAAGGCATGTGGTAAAGTGTATAAACAACCCAGAGTTTCCTTTCAATAAAAGATAGAGACTTGCCGGGCGGTGGTGGCACACACCTTTAATCCCAGCACTTGGGAGGCAGAGGCAGGTGAATTTCTGAGTTCGAGGCCAGCCTGGTCTACAGAGTGAGCTCCAGGACAGCCAGGGGTACACACAGAAACCCTGTCTCAAAAGAAAGAAAGAAAGAAAGAAAGAAAGAAAGAAGAAAGAAAGATAGAGACTTGATCAGACTCTGTCTTGTCTCCATCCTTCGAGTCTCTCGCCCCTCCACCCCCACTCTCTCTTGCTAGACCCTGACCTGCGGACAGGAGCAGCAGCTAGGGCTGGTACAGAAGGCTGTTTGGAATAGCTGCCCTTTTGAATGGGAGCTAAATAATGAGAAGAAACCAGCAGTGTGGCATCCCAGGGTAGAGCCTCCAGGCAACACATGTTCTGTGCTGGGAATCAAACTCTGAGGGAGCTGCGTTGGGGACACTTGAGGTCACAGCAAGAGGAACAGAGGGAGGGTAGGATTAGGGAGGGAGGGGCTGGTAAATTCATTTTCTCTGCTTCCCTCTCTCTGCCCTTCTTCCTTGGTGGGGCTGAGGATGCAATTAGGGAAGCACTCTGCCAAAGAGCGACATCCTGGCTTCAGTCCTTACCCTAGCTGTGAGTAGAGGGACTCTATTCTTTTAATAAGATCTTACACAATTCAAAGGTCATCCTGACTGCTGGATTGTAAGGGGACAGAGAAGGTAGCACAGACAGTCAAGAATGAGGATTTTATTTATTTATTGGATTCTCCTGGAACAGGTGTTAGAGATAGCTGTGAGCTGCCATGTGGGTGCAGGGAATCGAACCTGGGTCCTCTGGAAGAGCAGCCATTTTAACTGCTGAGGCATCTCTCCAGCTGCCGAGCCATCTTGTTTGAGGCAGTCTAGCTAAATAGTCTAGGCTGGCTTTGAACTTAGTGATCCTTACTGTCACAGCTTCTTAAGTACTGGCATGGCAGGGATGCACTAAAGATTTTGTGACAATGCAGGTAACACGGGGAGGGGAACCCTGTTTCTTAGCTTTTCAACAGTGCTGGGGGCAGTGGGACTGAGACAATTTCAGAAAGAGGAACGATTTGATTTTTGGCATGCACAGCTCCAGTGGTTTCTGACCCTGTTACTTTGGGTTTGCGGTGACAGTAATGTACCACGTACATCATGGTGGAACACGTGGTAGGGGAGAAAGCTGAGAGAGACAGGAAAAGGTTGGGATCCCACCAGCCCCTTCAGAGTCACAGCTTGTCCTCCATTACCCATTCATGTCACCCCAGGGGCCATTTCAACATGACCAGTATTTTTATAAGACAGATAATCAGAAACACATGGGCAGAACACTACGAAATGGCAGGTTCTAAGGACTGCCAAACAGTGCTGAACACCACCCCAAGCTAGAGAGACACAAGGCAGGGTTTTCCGTCACCCAGTTCAGACAGAGTTTGCTGCTTCCAGGATCCGTGGACTGCTGGCTTCTAGAACCACGAGGAATGATGACAACCGGTTCGTGGCACTTTGTTACAACACACTTAGAGATGGGGAGAAGAGCCAGGGTGAGCAGTATGATAGCAGGAAACATGACCCAAGTTCAAGCCTGCAGCCACAGGTTAGAGCATCTAAAAAGACAAAGAAAGGCTGCCTTCTACCCAGGCGGGTCATCCTTCATGTGGATTGTGTCATTCACTCTGTAGAAGTAAATTTGACAGGATGTCGACAGGATGTTTTTCCAGACTCGGAGGGCAGCTTAGGATCTGACACATTGATTCCTAGGGTCTTGGAACTGAGAGGAGTTATTTTAGCTCACAGGACTTCTATTCATACATCCGGTTATCCATTCACGTAAAGGTAAGCAGCGTTCCGGGCTGGCTTTGGCTCCTGTTCCACATGCAGTTCATTTAT